TTCTAAGCAGAAGAGCTGATGGCTAGAAGGCTCCAGCTCAGAGCCACCACTACTGCTGCTTTCACCGGACTCTTCATAGTCTGGGTTGCTTGGGTGGGTAGAAGCATCTGGAAGGATGAACCACAGTGAGAGGGAAAAAGGGGGCACTGGTGAAGCTCCTGCCTATAGAAATGATGCAGGAAACACATTACAAAGAAAAATCCCAATATTCTTATGGGTCCAATGTGTATGTTTGCAGTGCTGCCAATTAGAAGTTGTTTTTTTTTTTTGAGAGTCTCACTATGTCGCCCTCAGTAGAGTGCCGTGGTGTGACAGCTCACAGCAACCTCAAACTTGGGTTTAAGTGATTCTCTGGCCTCAGCCTCCCAAGTAGCTGGGACTACAGACGCTCCCCACAATGCCTGGCTATTTTTGTTGCAGTTGTCATTGTTTAGCTGGCCAGGGTGGGGCTCAAACCCACCATCCTCGGTGTAGTGGCTGGTGTCCGAGCCCAATTAGAAGTTTTATTTACCTCTGTATCCCTCCTCTGGAGCTAGCACAGTCCAGTCACAAAGTAGGTACACAATGAATGGTTGTTTAGCACGTAGGATAGGAAGGCAGTGGAAGGATACATAGAACTCTATCTAGGTTCAAATCCAGGATCTGCCATTGCCTAGCTTTGAGATCTTAGGCATATTATTTGACTTCTCAGTGCCTATTTCCTGACTGTGAAATGAAATAAAAGTTGTAATCTTAGGAGATTCTAAAAAGACTCAATAAGTCAATCTACAGTTTACCGCTTAGGAAAACTAGTGTCACTTATTAACCACTATGATCGCTAAGCCTCAGGGAAACTTCGGAAAAGGCCATTCACTAGATTCATTCCATAATTATGTCCTGGTTGCTTTTAACGGCCACTTTTTTCTTTACTAGGTAGTGGAGCAGCACACTATAATGTAACATATTGGGGCAAAGCAGAAAACAACTTCTTGCCAGCTCCCAGGTACCCTATGTAAGAAGTGATAATTAACTGGGGTCCATGAGCCCTCCCAGTTCTTGGGGAGATTCTCTGAGCAGAGATTAGGGAGCGCTGAAGAGGAGGTCCCGG